GGTTAGGTTACACACACACACACACACACACACACACACACACACATACACATACACACATACACACATACACATACACATACACACAAACACCCTTCTTTTTCTCGCTCCATCCTTTCTGCAGAGCACTCTGAGGCATTGTCAACACCAGTCTATCTGAGGTGAATTCAGACGAAGAAAAGCCAGAGGGCAACAAAGGCCTGGGCGTCTTTGTGTTGAATCCATTCACACTGAGGCACCAGGGTCTGGCTTTTCTGCAGCTTCATGCAGTGTTTGGATTGAGATACCCCCCTTACCAACCTCTGCCCTCCTTATTTATAGTGTATTGATGTCCCGTAAACGTCCAGTTAGCTATCAAGTAACTGTAGCTTTACGGTCTAACAACCAACCTCTAACCCTTTGCCTGTCACCTCTTGCTCTTCACCTTTTCACCCTTGTTACATGATGCTTTTCTCAGATGAAGAGGTAACTAGGTCATTTCACATTATCTAGGGTCTGTCTGAAGCACGCAAAGATGTACATGGCCATATGACAGTACATTTATTTGATCTAAAACAGGAGCACACAGACACTTCACTCTGCGTTTAAATCAGTGAAAGTAAAGGTAGAGGACTGATATTAAAGTTGAATCTGATTAGCGAACAAGAGAGGTGGTACCATAGCGTGAAATAGGCTGCTCAAAAAATGATTAACTAATATTCCTGTTTGACATTATTCTTGATCCTTGGTGTGAAGCCAGAAAGGGGTTTCCGCTATCTGCTCTCCAAAAGACTTTTAAAATGAAATGGAAATCCATTTTTAATGAAGTTATGGTTAAGTCTCTCACACACACCTCTGACAAGGATGGAATCATAGTTTAAGGGGTATTTCATGTTAACTGGCTCAGCTTTAAATTTAAGTCGAAATTTGTAAATGTGAGCTGAGTGCTGTTTGAGTATAAGTTAGACATGTTAATCATTAAGCCAGTATATAAGCAAAGATCTAAGGATGTGGGAGTTGGCCATAGTAGTATTTTTACTTGGGAAACTGGGAAACCAATGTGACACCAAAGAGTTTAACTTTTTTCTTCCCTGCTCCCTGTCTATGCAATATTTATAGGTGTGTAATACTTTCATACTTTCTGTTTTATAGAGGAGGTTTCTATTCACGTATTCTCCACAGAGAGGGTAGAGGTCAGGTTCAGCTCCAGAGCAGCACTCCTGGAGCTGCTTGAAATTCGTATAATGAGTTACTCGCTGAAGGACATTTTCGCTTCAATATCCCAAAAACTAAAAATCCTTACCTGTATGTCCTGAACTCACCTGTATGTAACTTCTGTTGTGTCTCCCCCCCCCAGAACGAGCCATTGCTAGACACGAGGTACGAGAGATCGAGCAGCGGCACACGCAGGACGGTCTGCGGGAACGGGAATCATCGGTCTCGTTGCTGTCCAACAACGAAGATGACATTGTCATCATCTACAACCGCGTGCCCAAGACGGCCAGCACTTCCTTCACCAACATCGCCTACGACCTGTGCGGGAAAAACCACTACCACGTCCTGCACATCAACACCACCAAGAACAACCCGGTCATGTCCATACAGGACCAGGTCAGAGCTGACTCCAAGTTTAACATAAATTCCCCTTTTTTTTTATATAATTGGCCTGTTTGCAGAGGCCTGATTTGCAAAGGCCTGATTTCTTGTTATTGACTCTTGTGTGTACTAAAAAGAGCATCTCATCCATTATAATGATGATAAATATTTGTTTCAGGTGCGGTTTGTAAAGAATGTGACTGAGTGGAGGGAAATGAAACCAGCTTTCTACCACGGACACGTCTCCTTCCTGGACTTCACCAAGTAAATATGTCGTCTTGCAATTGTCTTATAATGACAACACTTATTCACAGTTATTCACCCTGCTGTGGCTTTGTGCAGGTGACTCCACCTTGTGGTCATTTACAGCTTTTCACTTTTTTTCATATTGTGCAGCGCAGTGATGTGAATGTAGCACAAAGTTACATTGCTGATGCTCACAAAAAGCTCCTAAATCTGTAAACTGTGTGTGTCTTTAAATTTAATCTTTGGTTCTAAATTCTATTGAATACTTGGATGCAATGACTGTCGTGTCTGTCAGGTTTGGGGTGAAGAGAAAGCCCATCTACATAAACGTGATCCGGGACCCCATTGAAAGGCTGGTGTCCTATTATTACTTTTTGCGTTTTGGGGACGACTACCGGCCCGGCTTGAGACGCAGGAAACAAGGAGACAAAAAGGTTAAAAACCATTAATAATACTCTCATTCTTTTGTTTAAAGGATACGGGCACAACTTTTCAGGTCTGTCTTAACACAATAGTCAGGTGCTCATATGAACATCACTCAATGAACAATCAATTCTCCTGTTCATACAGACCCTTAAACTATCCCTCTCAATTCACTTTAAATGGAAGTGAAGGGGGACAAGATCTACAGTCCTTGTTCTGTGCAAAAATATATTCAAAAGTATATCTGAAGGTAGTACAAGGCTTGGCCAAACAAGAATATGTCCTAAAAGTTACAGCACTTTTGGTCAGTGTATCTTAATGAGCTGTAATGGAGAAATAGCAACGCAAAAGATACTTGCTAAAAACATTGTATTCTCCCTATTTGACTAACTCAGTCTCATATTAGCTTCAGATAAACTTTGGAATACATTGTTACACGAAACAGTGACTAGGTTTTGTGCCTGGTCGCTTATATTAGAGGCACATGAAGATGAACAGGAGGATTGAGAACAGAAAGCAAAACCTATTGTAATGTGCATATAAAGGCACCTGACTATTTTTGTCAGACAGACTTAAATCTTTGATCCTTTAACCAATTTGACAAGTACATTTGTTTTCTTCACAAATGCTCATGCCATGTGTTTCAGACGTTTGATGAATGTGTATCAGCTGGCGGCTCAGACTGTGCCCCTGAGAAGCTCTGGCTCCAGATTCCCTTTTTCTGTGGTCACTACTCTGAATGCTGGTAAGTATTCAAACCCCTGATGCTGTACCCAGTATTTTATGGTTGATTGGTTGAGGGGATTAGTACCAAGTATTAAGAGACAGAATAACTGATTGTTGGTTTTGATCTTATCAACATTATCGTTTCCTCGTCTTCAGAGAGTTCAGGAGGGATGCTGTATCAGTGTTGTTTCATAATGCACCACTCTATAGTCCTTTTCTGTAGTTTCTGCTACACTGATCTTCTCAAGGTCTCTGATAGCTCTCTCAGCCTTGATCCGTTCTCACTAGATGATGATCTGTATCAATCTTTGTTTCTGCCCTCACTCATCCCTCTTACCCTCCTCAGTCTCTCCTTCTCTCTGCCCTCCATCTTTTTACCGTGTACCCCTCTGATGCAGGTTATTGACTAAAGGTCTGAGTTTAAAGGATTTACTTCACTATCAGTATATTAAAGTAGTGGAAAGCACCTTGGAAACCTTAAATAAATACTGAAGATAAAAGGTGAAGGTGCTGCCAGTCCTCTAATGCTGTGTTTAACAAGGCTTTGCCAGAAAGTTACTTTATAGGTTTAAACAATCTACTTCCTCCTTTATTATCTAATATCCTGCCTATGACAACACCTGCCACTGACTTAATTTTTTTCCATTCCTTCCCATCCTTTCTCTTCCATCCTCTGGTCCTCTTGTTGTTTCAACCCTCTCTGGACTCTGTTCACATCTCACTTAATCATTTTTCCTGACACTTTCTTTGTCCGTTCCAGCTCTCCTCTGCTGCTCCTCTGTCACTCTCTTCCTCCCCTCCCCCATTTCTTCTCTTTGCAACGATGTGATCATTTTACATCCAGTAAAACCGACCATACTAACACTAACCACATACAATGAACGTGATCTCTGCGCAGGAACGTGGGCAGCCAGTGGGCTCTGGAGCAGGCCAAATACAACCTGGTGAATGAATACATGTTGGTCGGAGTAACAGAAGAGCTGGAGGATTTCGTCATGATGCTGGAGGCCGCGTTGCCACGCTTCTTCAAAGGAGCCACCGAGCTGTACAAAACAGGTGCCATTTGCTGCTGCCTTTGTTTCCCTCATCAATATAATAATATTCTGAAAAGCAGCTTAATGGCTTACTCACATTGCAAAGCTAAAGTGTGTGTGTGTCTGTGCTGTGGTTGCATATTAGCCGTTTAAATTGCTCCTCTGAGAATTGAATTGTGATCAATATGCACTCTTGCCTCTCACTGATGTAGTTACAGATTAGTTACAATGAGTGCAGCCAGGATGAATAATGGGGAGTACAGAAGAATGAAATGTGACAGTGATGTAGATGAAAGTATGCTGTTCATCATTTTTAGCAGCAGATAAATCCAAGTACTCAAGTTAATCAGGTATATATTTAATGAATTTGAAGACTGAGCCTCTGTTTCAGAAGCCACGCAGTCTCGGTTATCACGTTTTTGCTGACTGGCAATGTCACTAGAAGCTTTAAGAGATCCGTTTGCCTTTCATTTAGCAAAAATTAAAGATAGGCCTAAAGAGAAATGTAGAATACATCAGACAGGATGGAAGCGCTGCCATATTTCCACAATAATTATTTCAGACAGTTACTTTCTTGTCTGTACGGTAAATATGAAGCTACAGCATCAGTGGCTTGGCTTAGCTTAGCTTAGCATAAAGGCTGTAAACAGGGAAACTGCTAGCCCGGCTCTGTCCAAAGGGAACTAAATCAGCCCCCTTTAAAGATAAGTAATTAACACGTTACATCTTGTTTGATTATTTTGTTTTGGATGGGGTCATGTATGCATGTCAGAATCCTGTTTTTTTTGGGGGGGTAACAATGATAGGCACATGTTACTGTAGTTAATGTCAATAAAACCTGATAATTTAAAGAAATAAAAGTTTTGCATATTGCGAAGAGTTTAGTTGTGACATGTGGAAAGAAATTAGTTGAAGTCCTATAAATGGTGCCACTGAATTTTTTGAAATGCAGTAACAAAAAAGGAACTATTACAATAAAAATAAAATCATAGTAATGCCTACATTAACATTAAACAAGATGACGTGTATATAAAAGCTTAATCACTGAGACTGTGTATCTGGACCCCTTTAATCCTGCTCTCCTCTCATCACAGGGAAGAAATCCCACCTGAGGAAGACCAGTGAGAAAAAGCCGCCCACGAAGGAGTCTATCGCCAAGCTGCAGCAGTCGGCCATCTGGAAGATGGAGAACGAGTTCTATGAGTTTGCACTGGAGCAGTTCCAGTTTGTCAGGGCACATGCTGTCAGAGAAAAGGATGGGGAACTCTACCTGCTGGCACAGAACTTCTTCTACGAGAAAATCTACCCCAAAAACTAAAGAGACACGTGTCCATAGAAGAGTGTGGAGAGGACACTCGGTAGGAGGCTCAGATGTGCAGCCTATGATGAAAAAAAAGAAGAAAAGTGAGACTAATAGACTACTGGTGACTGTGTGGCTGGTTTGTATGTGTGATTGAGAACATAATGTGGAGCTGCAGAATAATCAGACTGGTGACAGCTCTGTTATTCACATCAACGCCAGCCAACTGGACGAGGAGCTCACTTTTCGTCAGTAGATTGTGTTCCTAGCAGCCCCACCCCCCTTCCAGGCCTCCACTCCCTTTCACTTCCATTTCAAAGGTCGTCTGCGCCAAGGGCCTCCACCGACACATGTCCGGAGACAGCCTGTCCAACAGCTGGTCAGAGGTCGTCTCCTGATTGGTTTCGCTGTTCTCCAATCCAGACAAAACATTTTCATTGGCTCTGTACTGTTTGGTTGTGTTTGATTGTATTTTAACTCTTTACTATGGTTGTCTTTTTGTATGTAAGACGGTGACATTTTCCATGGTGAAACAACATGCCCATGCCTCACCACTACTACTAACTTAAAGAGATTTTAAGTGTAAGAAACTGACTACTGTGCTGTATTATTGGACTTGAATGAGAACTTTTGAGGTTTTTATGAAATAAAAATCCTGTGACCATGGACTATTTACTCGGACAAGTGCGTACGTTTTATACTGTACTTGATATGTTTTGTTGGAAGACTCGTAGATGTGCAGCTTTGCCTAGGGGCTTTTCGTCGGTTATGAACGAAGCATTTTACACATGATATTACTGAAGTGTGTAAGAACATGAAGGTGAAGATGCTGCTGCTGTAAATATTTACTACTTTTTCAGTCAGTTTCATTCAGAGACAGATTTGCTACAGTATAAAATCAACCCATTTATACTGTTAACGTCCTTTTAAAGTTGCAGTTTGTGCATTTTATCATGTTTGTACATTTCTTTCAACTCTTTCATTTTACTTTTTAGTCTGAATTACATTTTTTATCATTTTCTTTTCATTGTATAACCAGTATTGTATTGCCTAAAGGAAAATTTGACATTTTGGAATATATGTTTATTTGCTTTCTTGTCAAGAGTCAGATGAGGAAATTGCTACCACTCCTGATATCAGTCCCTTAAATATATATTAGCTCAGCCTTTAGACTGAAAATGGAGGGGAGGGGGCTGCTAACTTGTCGCTTTCCCCAACCTCACTGTGAACTGTGTGTTGACAGACATGTTAATTAATGACCTGTAGAAGGAGGAGGGTGGGTAAATTGTTACTTTTAGACAGAACCAGGCTATCTGTTTCCCGCTTGTGCGATCTTCCTGATCCTCATAGCGTAGCCCAGCCAGTCAGCCGGATCTATTTTTATTGAACGAGAGGAGAGGAGTATGGAATGCTCTCAGCAAACGAAGGCACACATTCCCAATTAAATCCTCAAAACGTACTCTTAAAATTATCTGCCCTGTCTTTTTTTTTTTTTTTTGCAGCTGTCCACATAAAATATGGTGGTGAGATTGGTAATAATTTGCTTGTGTAGTTTTCTTCTCTCGTTGGCTTTATTGCGGCTTTAATGGCCTTTTACTGGCCAATTAAAGATCTCCTCTCCCCTTCATAAATTTCTAACTAACAGTTAGAAAACTTTAAAGTGACATAATGTTGCCCCCTCAACTAATTCACCTCTGTCTTATCAAGAAGTTGTACTAATGTAAAGCAACAAATTGCTTCAGCAGGAAGAGCTGCACAGAATGTTTCTACTGGATCACAATTTCTTAAGTATTTATGAGTACCTACTCATTTTCATCTGGGGACATACTATATTTCACCTCTCAGTTTCTGTGTGCCTTCTTTACTCTCAGCTCTCCTTGTTGTGTTGCAGCTTTGTCAGATGGAACATAAAAACAACATGGCTGCCATGACTGTCTTCATCTTTTGATTGCCAAAAAATATATATACATAATATTTCCAAACACTACCGAAGATCTGTGTGCGTGTGTTCCTTAATTTAACAAACGTTAGTACATCGTCATCAACCGGTACAACGGGGCAGGGAGTGGTAGACATAGATAAAGCTGCTCCTCTGGAAATGAAAGCTGGATTATTTCAGGGCTGGTATCCTGCAGAGGGAGATAAAGAGCTGCCAGGTCTGTTCCTGCCTCTAATGTTGTGTGTGTGTATATGTGTGTGTGTGTTTATCCATTTTCACATCCTTTCCAATCCTCTTGGGGCATTTTTCAATATTTGATATTGTGATTGCAGTGAGTTTAATATGCATCTGGCATACAACTCAATTATATTTTTATAATATGTTATGAAAACACAGAAGACTGTCATATATATTGTGGCACTTGTCATGCAAACCAGAATGTAACTCTTGCTCTCTTGCTGCTGAAAAAAATGTATTGCGAGCACTAAAATAGGACCTTGGTTATGTGAGACGTGAGAGGAGTCACCAGAGGCCAGAGAAAGTTTATATGATTCAGTGTTGCCACTCAGTGTTATTTATCCCTGCTCTCAGATAATCCCTGAACAGTCATCAGCTATCTCCATTAATCTCAGATTGTTCTCTGGTTACTGCTTCCTGGTTTTGGCCCTCTGACCCAGATAAACATGGAGGGTGTCTACGTTGGAGCCTCCGTTACAGGCTGCTTTTTAAAGTTTGACAAGGAGCATTTAACAGTAGATTTAGGACTCAGCCTTCTGAGGCCTTTTATGAGGTAGTAAAAGGGGTTGCTGCTACTGAAAACTATATCTAAACACCCCAAACTGCACATCTTAACATCTTTAGTTAGCTTTTTAGTCTTTACCAGATTATTTATCCAAAATGTGGCTACCATTGTGTTACATGTGATGAAGTTTCACATGTGATGCCTGTGATGGTGCTGCTAATTCCCTCTGATCCCTGAGGGTTGGATGTCATGAACCAGTAAACCACCAAAGTTGTTGCCCTGCACAACCGACACCTGAGAAGACTTTCGGCCAGTGCAATATTTTACAGTGCATAAAAAACAGTAAAAGACGAGTCAAATTGAACTAATGCACACATTTTTAAAGTTGCCCACCTCTCAGAAACTTGTTTTGCTTTTTGTTATTTTTCTTGGAAGCTCGGCCTTCTCTGTGTAGAATGATGTATGTGCAGAGTTTGACACTAGGAGGTGGTTTTCACATTCATCTGCTGAAGGGGGGAAGTTTAACACTTGTACTTAAGAGCATTATTTTTTTAAATAATTTCTAGTTTGGAAACCAGTCGTGATCCAAAATGCAACCTGCACAAGTGTGGACACCTGGAACCTTCAGTATACGATGAGAAATGACAATATAAATACATAAAAACATGGAGTCGATGCAATTTTAATTATTTATAATAAGGTAATTTTTACTTTTTTGAGGGGAAAAACACAACAAACACAAATTATATTAAAAGCAAAGTATTTTATATCTAAAAAACATATCTGGAGGAGATCTTTAAGTAGGCCTATTTCTGTACAGTGCAGTACAGTGGAGAGCTTACAAGAAAGGAGGAGGGGAAGAAAGAGGGGTGGCAATATGCAACAGCCGGTGTTACACAATTCTGTAACCTTTCAGTTATATTTCTACTGTATTGTTTAGGCCACTACAGCACGAACACCATACACGTCGTCAGCTTTAGGTATTTTTTATCATATTTTACCAAAATATAATATGTGATTTGAAAACGTGCAGTGGCAACGTACGGCTGAAATCCCTAACAGATCACAGTGTAACTGCATATGCATTAGGATGATTTTTATAACCTTGTGGAACAATACCTAATACCACCCTGCACAATAAAATGTAGTGAACATCCCATAAATCAGAGCCTTATTATCATGTTTATTATGGGTAATAACACACCCACAGATCAGTATAGTGTTAATTTACTTCTAAAAAACCTGAATAACAGCAGGAGGAAGGTGGGACATCAAAGATATGTATGTTACTGATAAAGGCAGGTAACCTTAGATATTGATTAACCCACTGGTACAGAAACAGCATTACACAATACCATCTTCACTCTTGTGCAGGTTGGGGATATAGTGATCTATCACGTCCTGTCTGAAGCACCTGGCTGCAGTCAGTCACTGGAGAGAGCGTCACTGTGGAGACAGAAACAAAGACTGGACCTCTACAGGGAATTTAACAGGAGCACATCAGTCATACGTCTACCCAACAAGGCCTCTGCCATTTTTATTTTGTGCACAATGCTCAGTTTATGAATGAGGAACCGGCGTTGTTGTCCACACTAATAAATATCTGTGACACTACGCCATAAGCACAGAGTGCCCAGTCTCTGAGACATATGTCTTGTGGCGACTGTGTCACTGTAGGTTATGTAACGCAGAGGTAAGTCTTCTCACTGAGGCGTGACATGTAATGCACTGGCCCCAGCAGAGAAGAGCTCAGTGTTTGTCCTGTGGTTTCTTAGTCACAGCTCCTCCTGATCTATCTGGCTTGGCAATGTAGAAGTAAACTGAGACTCTTATTTAATATACAGTATAGCAGCTTTTTTCTTAAGTATGACCCTTATGGTGTGAATTATAGCTGATCAATATTAAATTGTTGATAGTCATGGGTCAAGTACAGTACTGGGGTACTTATATATAAAATATATATATAAATATTATATTTATTACCTCATTACAGCTCCTGACAGTTATCACATACGGAAGCCGAGAACGGCCATGGATTTTTTTTTATGCACTGTTATCTCGTGATAACGACTTATTAATTCGTTAAACGAATTAATTATTTCGTTATCTCGACATAACAAAGATCGTTTTCTCGTGATAACTAATTAATTAATAATGTGTTCGTCTTGACTGTGGTTTCATTCCACATCCACAAGCACAATAACACAAGGACAGAGTGTGGGAAAGGATCCATAAACCAGTCAGACACTCTGAGATGTTCCGGGATTAAAGGG